CACGGGGGTTCCCGGTGCCCCACGCCGCTCCCTGCCCAGGCACGAGGAGAGTGGGATGCAACCACCGCTCCCCGAGGAGTTCCAAGCCCCGAGATGCTCCAGAGGCACCTGGAGCGGGCTCGGATCGCCCGCGCGCCGAACGAACCCGGGTGTAATCAACGCTCCGAGGTTGTTTGGATTTGCTGCTTCCATGTTAAATATTCATGGAAAGGAGCAAAGCACGGGGAGTGCAAATGTCTGCACAGTTCCAAGCTGAAGGGCCACATTTACATTTTAATAGTGGAAAATTACAAAGCGAAGTGGAGAAGGCACAAAGCATCTCCCAAAATCGGAGAAGGGACAAAGCACATCCCAAGCTGGAGAAGGGACATGGAATATCCCAAACTGGAGAGGGCACACAGCATTTCCTAAGTAGAGAAGACACACAGCATCTCCCAAAGTGGAGAGGGAACACTGCATATTCCAAACTGGAAAAGGCACATGGCATCCCCAACACTGGAAAAGGCACATGGCATCCCCAAAACTGGAGAAGACACATGGCATCTCCCAAAGTGGAGAGGGAACACAGCATATTCCAAACTGGAGAAGGCACATGGCATCTCCCAAAGTTAGAAAAGGCACAGATCATCTCCCAAACTGGAAAAGGCACACAACACCTCCCAAACTGGACACGTGGTATCTCCCCACACATGGCAGGTTATGCCCAGGTTTCTCTCCCATCCAAGAGAGAGCAGCCACTCCGAGACACCTTCCAGGTGTTTTTTTTCCAGGAATGAAAACAGAAGGAAAAGGACAGGATGAGGAGGCAGCCCAGACCCTGCACTGCTGCTCCTCCTCACTCCTTCCCCTGGCCCTGCTCAGAGCCAGCCCTTCCCAGCTGGAAGCAGATTCCACTCTGCACTTGTAAAACTGAAATTTAACCTGCTGGAAACACGTTAATTAAACTTGCTTGTTCTCCTCTCTGAGCAATTCCCAAATGTGGTGCTGGGAGATGAGGATTTCAGCTTTTCCCTCCAGATAAAATCCATCAGGCTGATGCAGCTCAACCCTGGAAACTTCTCCCTGCAAGAGGCTGGTGCATCTTTCGTTCCTCTCTTTCACCTTGTTACACTCAGCACATCGAGGGTCCTGCCTGGACTCTCAGGATAAATCCCTCCAGGAAATCCTGGCACTGCCCACACCTGTGACCGACCCCACACAGTTCCATTAATAATGATGATACAGAAAACCAGAGAAAGCCAAGGAGAGTTTCTGCTCTGTCCTGGAAAATAATTCCCATCCACGTCTCTGTACTGCCAAAAAAAAAAAATGCATCCAGGACCAAAATGGAGCGTTTAGAACTTCCCCCCCAATTCCGAGGCCGGCAGCGACTGCTCAGCTCAGTTTTGTGCATTGACATCAGAACAGCCAAAGCTTCTGCAGCAAAGTTCAAAAGAATTTTCAGCACAGCTCAGCGAGTCCCTGGCCTGTATTTATAACACTCCTTCAAAAGCTCCAGAGGTGGGGAGGCAGCTCTGGAAAGGGCAGTGGGAGGATCCCGAGAACTGCGCAGAGCTTATCCCAGATCCTTTCAGAGAGTCACAGAATCCCGGGATGGGTTGGGTGGGAAGGGACCTTAAACCACACCCAGTGCCACGCCCTGACATGGGCAGGGACACC